AGCTCGGAAGCAATGCAAACCATTTTGACGGCAGATGCAAAAGAAAGATACAGAACAGCGCTGCACCCTAGAACTTAAAGCCCGGGAAACCCCAAACCAGACACCCCAAATACGAATCCCGTAACCCCCATCAAACACCCACCGTAAACAACAGTGGCCACAGAAGCAGAAGTTGTATGCACTGCACTCAATCACTCAGACATGGAATCCAATGCGAAAGGCAAAAGGCATGAAAGCCCGAGCGGTGCAAACAGTTCTGAAGCTCAGGTCCGGACTCACCGACGAAGCGACGTGCAACAACTGGGCCGCAAATTGTGTGTTGTTTTAAGCCAATCGAGAATTACAATCAGATGTGCCATGCATTTGTGTCTACTGCTGCTGCTGCTGCTGCTGCCTGCTAGGATATGCTCAAAACACTTCCCCTATGGCCTAGCCTAGAGCTCGGCGGCGGTGCAGCAAAGTGCTCGCGCCCGGATGGTTGGCTCTCGGCCCGTTGTCGAATCATGGCTCCTCGGCCGGATGCTGGGCACGCCGGCCCGTCGTTGCGTCGTCAAGTGTTGCCCGGCTGGGCGGATGGGGTTCTTGGCTTGGCCCCTTGCCATGTCACGGGTGGGGTTCTCGGCTTGGCCCCTCGCCATGTCACGATCCTAACCCCTAAACCCTACGAGCCAGGGAAGGACCGGGACTCGCGAGTGATGCTCCCGCTCGGCCTATCTTGACCCGCCTCAAACCCCCTTTTTCCCCGCAGCTGGCGCGGCGACGGCACCGCCCCAGCTGGAAGCACCTGGGCAGAGAGGCGGGGGGCCGGGGATCCCGGATGCAAGGCGGCCTAGGGTACCCCGAGAGGTTGAGGGACCTACAAACCCCGAAAACCCCCCGACCCCAGCAGAGAACCCTGTGCACCTGCACTCTAAACCTCGCGGCCTACGAAAACCCCGGCCTTCCAACCTGAAAAAACCCTGAACCTGGCGGGCACGGACCACTGCCTCGCTGCCTCGGAGCCCCAACCAGCCTTCCGAAAAAAAACCTAGCCCTGAAACCTAAGAGGGACCAGTCAGCATCGTCAACGAGGTCGGACCTGGGCGAGGGGAGGGTGGGGGGAGGAAGGAGGCGGGGGGGCGGGGATCCCGGATGCAAGGCGGCCTAGGGTACCCCGAGAGGTTTAGGGACCTACAAACCCCGAAAACCCCCCGACCCCAGCAGAGAACCCTGTGCACCTGCACTCTAAACCTCCCGGCCTACGAAAACCCCGGCCTTCCAACCTGAAAAAACCCTGAACCTGGCGTGCACGGACCACTGCCTCGCTGCCTCGGAGCCCCAACCAGCCTTCCGAAAAAAAAACTTAGCCCTGAAACCTGAGAGGGACCAGTCAGCATCGTCAACGAGGTCGGACCTGGGCGAGGGGAGGGTGGGGGGAGGAAGGAGGCGGGGGAAGGGAAGGGAGCGCGCACGGACACTACCTTGCAGCCTCAGAGCACCTTCCAAGAAACCCCGGAAACCCCCCGAAGCCTGCACTACTCCTAGTGAAGACCCTCCTACGGCAACACACTCTGAGGTCCCGGCCCCGCCCCGCCCCGCTGCGATCCGAAGGGGATTTAGGGAAAAAGTTCCGGGGAAGGGGTCGGGACCGAACGCAGGTGTTTTTAAGCTGCAATCAGATGTGACAAGCATTTGTGTCTACTTCCCAAGCCCCCTCTTCTGAGCCATCGAAAAACCGAATCGCTGTTTCAAGCCACACTCCCAAAATATTGTGGCACCAAGATGTTTGGATTTTAACGAGATTAGGGTATTCGGGCATTGAGGCATCAGGGGATTAGGGCCGTTAGGGTGTTTCTAAGCCAATCAAGAATTGCAATCAAATGTGCCAGGCATTTGTGTCTACTCCCCAAGCCCCCTCTTCTGAGCCACCGAAAAACGGAATCTCTGTTACAAGCCACACTCCCAGAATATGTTGGCGCCAAGATGTTTGGATCTTAAGGAGATGAGGATATTCGGGCATTGAGGCATTAGGGCATCAGGGCCCAGGTACGACGAAGAAGCCGGGGCGGAAGCGTTCGAAGCTGCACCTGAGCAAGAAAGGTAAAGACGTACGTCCCGACGCAAAGCAACCTAAACAACCCGAGAAGCAACGTCGCGGGCAGCACCCAGACTTCAAATGAAATAAAACTTGAAAGTTGAAGCGTTCCTACCAAAAGGGACATGCGGGCTCAGGTCGACTCCTTCGGAACTTGAAACATCTAAAGCGACTAGCGGAAACGCAATGGAATTCGAAACCAGGAACTAACCCCTTAAAGTACGGCGACACAAACCCTAAAAGGAACCCTTAACCACAAACCCCGAACCACTAATAAAATACGGCCTCGGCCATAAAAAGAAAGCTAAAGCCCCAACACCAACCCATTATCTCGAAAGCCTTCGTCATAGCCCCGAACACAACAGCAAACCCCAATCCCAAAGCCCTCACCTGACTTGCAGACACCGCGGCCCCATGCAACAAACACCAGCTCCACAAAAAATGACAACCCTTCAATCTACTCAAACCAAGCTCTTTCAACCCCAAACCCTAAACCCCTACCCCCGAAACCCCTACCCACCAAAGCCCGCCTTCCTGGAGCCCTACTGCGGAGGCGAAAAACGAAGCATCCTGGAGCCCTCTTATAGCGGTGGGTGCCGAAGCTTCCTGGAGCCCTCTTGTAGAGGTAGATACCGAAGCTTCCTGCAGCCCTAGTGTAGAGTCGAAACCAAAACATCCTGGAGGCCTCTTGTAGAAGTGAAGCCGAAGCTTCCTGGAGTCCTACTGTAGAGGCGGAAACCGAAGCTTCCTGGAGACCTACTGGAGAGGCGAACAACGAAGCTTCCTGGAGCTCTCCTGTAGCGGTGGATGCCGAAGATTCCGGGAGCCCTACTGTAGTGGTGACAGACGAAGCTCCCTGGAGCCCTAACCTTTCCAAAGCCCCTTCAAAGCTTCCACCCTGACGAACCCCAGAGCCCAACAAACCTTGAACCCCATTCCAGCAAGGGAGTGTAACAGCCATCCGCCGGGAGGGTCCAGAGCTGCTGACAATCCCAAGGGGCAAACGGCCAGCAAGGAAGTGTGACAGCCATCCGCCCCCTTTCCACCAAGCGCCACCCAGATTGCCACCAGCTGACAATCTGAAGCCCTGAAGATTGCCACCTGCTGACAATCCAAAGGGCAACCGGCCAGCAAGGGAGTGTGACAGCCATCCGCCCCCTTTCCACCAACCCCCACCAGGATTGCCACCTCTTGGCAATCCGTGCCCCCTTAAGCTTGCCACCTGTTGGCAATCTGTACCCCCTAAGATTGCCACCTGCTGACAATCTAGATCCCCTGTGATTGCCACCTGTTGGCAATCTGTACCCCCTTAAGATTGCCACCTGTTGGCAATCTGTACCCCCCCAGATTGCCACCTGCTGACAATCTAGATCCCCTGTGATTGCCACCTGTTGGCAATCTGTGCCCCGCTACGATTGCCGCCTTCTGACAATCTAGACCCCCTAAGATTGCCACCTGCCGGCAATCCATCAGGCCTGGCAAGTGGCAGCTAAGCACCCAAAGCGCAGGTGTGATTGCCACCTGTTGGCAATGTGACACCCCCCCCCCCTTAAGATTGCCACCTGCTGACAATCTAGATCTCCTGTGATTGCCACCTGTTGGCAATCTATACCCCCCCTCCCCCCTACGATTGCCGCCTTCTGACAATCTAGACCCCCTAAGATTGCCACCTGCCGGCAATCCATCAGGCCTGGCAAGTGGCAGCTAAGCACCAAAAACGCAGGTGTGATTGCCACCTGTTGGCAATGTGACCCCCCCCCCCAACCCCCCAACCAGGATTGCCATCTTCCGACAATCTAGACCCCTCAGGAACACAAACCCGAACCGTACACGCAGTGCGTTTCTGGACCCTCCGTTCGAACTTTAAGGGGGTATGCTAACTGTCTTTTGGAAGCTAGTAATGGCGTCGAACTACAGCGACTGCTGTATGTGCCAGTTCACTAGCGAAGCGGCCTCCAAATACCTAAAGAGAGCCGATCACTTCTGCAGATTTGCAAGCTCAAGCTCCTTCAGCCGGGGTGGGCGCCCGGGGTCTGCTTGAAGCCATGAGATCCAAGGCCGGAAGCGGTCGAAGAGCAAGTGGCCTTCAAGTAAGCCTCGTTCAGGTGTCGAAGAACCAGTGGAAGAAGATGCGGAGAGAGGGGTGTACCAACACCGTTCTCGAAGTCCGCAGGTTGGAGCGGGGGCCTCAATTTGCAGCCAATTTCTTTCGGGTGATCCGCCCTCTTTCCTGCCTGAGGCGTGGCGTTTCGATGACCGTGGAAAACCACCTGAAGGCTGAAGGACTGAGGGGGATGGATGTGATGCCCCTCTTCGCCGTGAAACCCGGCCGACCAACGGGCACCAAGTCCGTGAGGTACCGGGTGATCGGCGAGGAGGAGGTTCACGATGGGCGGGTCAAAGGCATCACCAGAGACCTTAAGGCCCATGTTTCACCCAACAGTGGCAAGCCACTGTACGATTTTTTACGACGGCTTCATCCCAAAGAGGATTGGAAGCACGTCTACCTCTGGCTGATCGAACCACCGCCGCAGCCGAGGTAAAAAGAAGCGCGAGCCTTGCAACAACCACAGGGAACAGGGGACCGCAACCCCAGTTGTAGAGCCGGCTGCAGTGTCAAAACCCCGCACCCCCAAAATAACAAAAAGCAGGACCACTCACCCCCCGGTAAGCGTCTAGACCCACTGTGTGCACAGGCCGACAGAACCGCCGAGGCAACAGCGCCAAGCAACGAAGCCGAGGAAGCGGCAAAGCTCGCAAGGGATGCCGCTGAACCATCTCACGAAGGACCGGCCGCGCGACGAGGGGGGCCGAGACGGACTCCGACCACGACACGGAGCCCGGACCCAGCGTCGAGGCCGGCGTTTTCCCTCGAGCATCCACTGTCAAGAGCGCTCTTTAGGCAAGCAGACAATGCACCCGAGAGGAGCACTTTCGGGGCATTCTGGCCATCAAGAAGATGTCAGGCGACGGCAACTGCCTCTTCCACGCGCTCGGAGAGAACACCGGCGAGAGCGGGGCATGCCTCCGAGCCCTAATCATCCAGTACCTCAGAGAGAACGCAGAAGCCGAAGAAGACGACGAGCAAGTGCAGGCCTGGCTACAGGAAAGCCAATACCTCCAAAGCGATCCGGGTCACTGGGGCGGCGACACGGCCATCATCGCTTTCACCCGCATCCGCCGGGAGGGTCCAGAGCTACTGACAATCCACAGGGGCAAACGGCCAGCAAGGGAGTGTGACAGCCATCCGCCCCCTTTCCACCAAGCTCCACCCAGATTGCCACCAGCTGACAATCTGAAGCCCTGAAAATTGCCACCTGCTGACAATCCAAAGGGCAACCGGCCAGCAAGGGAGTGTGACAGCCATCCGCCCCCTTTCCACCAACCCCCACCAGGATTGCCACCTATTGGCAATCTGTACCCCCTTAAGATTGCCACCTGTTGGCAATCTGTACCCCCGAAGATTGCCACCTGCTGACAATCTAGATCCCCTGTGATTGCCACCTGTTGGCAATCTGTACCCCCTTAAGCTTGCCACCTGTTGGCAATCTGTACCCCCTAAGATTGCCACCTGCTGACAATCTAAATCCCCTGTGATTGCCACCTGTTGACAATCTGTACCCCGCTACGATTGCCGCCTTCCGACAATCTAGACCCCCTAAGATTGCCACCTGTCGGCAATCCATTAGGCCTGGCAAGTGGCAGCTAAGCACCAAACACGCGGGTGTGATTGCCACCTGTTGGCAATCTAGCCCCCCCCCCCCACCAGGATTGCCACCTTCTGACAATCTACACCCCTTAGGATTGCCACCTGCCGGCAATTTATGAGGCCTGGCAAGTGGCAGCCAAGCACCGAAAACGCCGAACCCGAACCGTACACACAATGCGCTTTTGGGACCCTCCGCCCGCCCCCTAAGGGGACATGCTAACTGTCTTTTGGAAGCTAGCAATGGCGTTGAACTACAGCGACTGCTGTACGCGCCAGTTCACTAGCGAATCGGCCTCCAAATACCTAAAAACAGCCGAGGTGCCTTCCTTGAGCATTCCAAAAGTAGGCCGCGGGCATACTTTTGGGATGTGTGCCACGGACGCGCTTTGCGCGAGGAGCGGTTTGTTTTCCTCAGTGCCAAGGGCCAAGGGGGCTTCCCATTGAGCCTGTCAACGGGAACGCGTGTACTCGCTCGCGGGTGCGCGTTACTACCGGGGATCCGATCTATCTCCAATCGGTGAACACATATGGGCGAAGGATGTTTCAATCCGACCAAAAACATCGGGGAAGCAGGGAGCGTGTGCTGCGGGACATTCTCTTATAAGGCGCCTAAAATAAGGCCATCCCAGTACTAAGTACGCTGGGGGGTGCCTTCGAAGACCTTCACACTCTCATACTTCCCACGCATGCATTCACTGAACATGTCCAAGCCAAGGACTGATTTTTGGTGCAAGCGACTCTGCTGCAATTAAACACGTGCATGTCCACATCTGTCCATGCTAGGCTTCCAATGTGCTAGCAATCATCTGATCTGGACGCCAAGGTACGGCCAACAAGGCCGAAACGCGCAGCAGCCGCCAGGCTGCAATCACATGCGTGCACGCTCCCACTGTCAAAACACTGTCTCGCGCAACACCCCTTCTATTCTTCCTGAACTCGTCAGCTTCCAGTGTCAGGTTTCTCTGC